ACGGCGTACATCGGCACGGCCTCCGCGGACCCAGCGGCGGAGCTCGCGGCGCACCTCGTGCTCAAGCAGTTCTACCTCGTGCTCTCCTTCGCGACGGACGCCCTCGCCGTCGCCGCGCAGCAATTGGTCGCGTCGGCGCCGGACGCGGCGGCGGCGCGGGCCGTCGCGCGGCGGCTCCTCGCCTGGGGGCTCGTCGTCGGCGTCGTCTTCGCGGCCGCGCTCTACGTCGCGCCGCCGCAGCTCCTCACGAGCGACGCGGCCGTCGCCGCGGCCGCGGAGGACGAGCTCCGCCGCGTCGTCGCGCCCCTCCAGGTCCTCTCGTCCCTCGTCTTCGTCGGCGACGGCGTCCTCCAGGGCAGCCGCGACTTCACCTTCGAGGCCTACGCCGTCTCCGCGGCGGCCCTCGTCGCCGCCGCGACGCTCTTCGCGCCCGTCGACGGCCGCGACGCGCTCTCCGCGGCCTGGGACGCCATCGCCGTCCTCAACGGCTGCCGCTTCTTCGCCTTCGCCTACCGCTTCTACGCGCGCGGGCCCTTGGTGGCGCGCGCGGAGGACGGCGACGCGGAGGGTAAGGTGTGATGAAGGGGGGGTTACTCACGCGTTCATTTCATCGAGCGCGGCGACCGCTTGCGCGTTGCCCTTGGCCGCCGCGCGCTCGAGCCAGCGCCTCGCCTCGTCCAAGTCGCGTTCCACGCCTTGACCCTCTCTGTGCGCCATTCCGACCATGAGCATGGCCGGCACGTAGCCCTTTTCCGCACTGAGCCTGCAGTAGCGGAAAACTTCCTTTGATACTGACTCGCGACCTGAGTTCAACCACGTCACCAATGCGTCTTCGTCGCCTTCGCGCCGCTCGCTCGCAGGCTTCGCCTCGAGCTTCGCCATCTCTGCGTTGGCATGGGCTATACTCACCTCATCCAGCAACCTTCCTAGAAGATATTGCGCCTGCACGACACCACGGGCCGCGCCGATCCGATAAAGCTCTATCGCCTTCTTGTTGTCCAGTTTGACGCCGTCGCCTTTCGAATACAAGAACCCGAGCCTCGCCACTGCGTCCATGTTCCCTAATTCCACGGCCCGCTTCCATAATTTTGCCGCTTTTTTCGTGGATTGCGCGAGACCGAAGCCACCTGTCGCGTACCGATCTCCGAGAAATAACATCGCTTCAGGAATATCGTTGTCCACGTGGCGACGAATCTGGTCCAGTTCTTCCTTTTGGCTCTTAGGCGCTGGCGCCTGACAGAGAGGACACGACTTGCCTCTACATTTAGCCCTGCATGACTTGCAAATTCTCCGGCAGCAACAGGCGAGGAGCGAGTTCGTAGAATTCACGTCCCAGTCCTCCAAGCAGATCGGGCACCGCGACCCCCAACGCGCCGACACCGGCTTCGGCTCCGGGTTCGCCTCGCGCCGCGCGCGGGCGGCCTCGTGTTCCGCCGCGATGCGCGCGCGGATCTCGTCGGCGTGCGAGCGCGGCGCCGGGCCGTAGACGACGGGCTTGGGGGGCGACGGCGGCGCCTCCGCGCGCGCCGCCTCTGCCGCACGGTCGTCGCGGATCTTCTTGCACGCTTTGCGGTGCCCTCGGTCGCGCCAATCGATTCTTTGGCATTCTGTCGTGCAGTACTGAGCTGTGCCACAGGGGCAATTCAGCTTCGCCTTCTCACCGCAAATGGTGCAGGTCATGCGGAGCTTGAGCGCTTTCGCCCGGGCCTTCTTGATCTCGTACTCTTTCTGCTTCTCGACGTACTCGGCCTTCATCGCGAGTCGAACGGCGTCGAAGGGGGGGGGCGATTGACTTTTGCGGGGGGGCGCGCTCAACAAGTCTTGCGTCGAGGATGGTGAGGCGAGATCGCCGGATTTTAGCTCTACCAGCCTTTACCTCGAGCGGACGCCCTCCGAGGTCACGCCGAGGAGGTCAGAGGCGTACGCAGGCTTCACGCGTGCTGCGCGCGCTGCCGCGGCACCTCCAGAAACGCTTACTCATCGCGCGGGCGCCGCTTCCTCCAGCGGGAGCCGCATGATGAGGTGGAGCCCGACCTCCGTGTCGACGACGCCCGAGAGGCCGTTGATGGGGAGCGCGAAGATCGCCGCCTCGAAGTCCTTGCTCATGCGCCCCCTCCCCCGATTCCCGAGGTCGCCCTGGGACGCGTAGGACGCGCAGTCGCTCCGCGTCGCGGCGGCGGCGAAGAACGCGGCGACGGGGTCGTCCGCGGCCGCGATCGTCGCGCGGAGCGCCTCGAGCTCCCCGCGCGCGGCGCCCTTCGTCAGCGCCGACTCGTCGCCCGTGCGGCGCGACACGTTGCCCGCGCACTCGACGTGCTTCGCGAGCACGTGCGCGCAGCGCGCCTCGACGCGCGACGCGAAGGGGACCTCGGGCGGGTCGGACGGGCGCCGCGGGACGTCGAGGCGCAGCGACGGCGGGTCCGCGTCCTCGACGTCGAGGTCGCCGACGAGCGCGGCGTCGTCGAGCGCCTCGAGCTGCGAGGGCGTGCGCGCGCCGCGCTTGAGCGCGTCGTCGTCGTGGCGCCGCAGCACGCAGCCCTCCTCCCAGGCGCCGCCGCCGTCGTCCGCCGCCGCCGCCGCCGCCATCGCGCGGGCGCGCAGCTCGCCGACCGTGAGCTCGTCGGAGACCTCGATTTTTATGATGCTTTCATTGGTGCCGAGCAACACGCGGAGCGTCGACGGGCCGGCCTTCTTCTTGCTGCCCTTCTTCTTCGCCTTCACGGCGGCGGCGCCGCCGCCGGCGGCCGTGCTCTTCTTCTTCTTCTTGGGCGCCATGCGGCTATGCGGATGCCATGACTCGTTGCTCGGGTGGGCAGCCCATGCCGCGCTATGCGGATGCCATCACGCGGGTGGGCAGCCCATGCCGCGCGATGCGGATGCCATCACGCTTGCGCGGAGGGCAGCATGTACCCGAAGCCGTCAAGTTGAACCGCAACTAAATAAGCGCTACGCCCGGGCCCCATCATCGCGTCATGAAGGCCTCGGGCTTGGGCCGGTTCTTCTTGGCCGAGCGCGGGACGCGCGCGGACTGCGCGCGGCGCGGCGCGGCGCGGTCGCCGGCCCGCGCCGCGGCGGTCTGGCGGCGCATGATCTCCGCGACGCCCGTCGGCGCGTACTCGTCGGCGAGGATGGCGTCGACGTCGACGGGCGCGCGCCAGCGCGCGGCCGCGGGCCGCGCCGCGGCCGCGGGCGCGGCCGCGACCGCGGGCATCTCGAGGACGACGCGCGGCGCCGTCGCGGGCCGCGGCGGCGCGGCGCGCGACGGCCGCGGCGCGGCCTCCCAGGCGGCCATGATGTCCGCGTGGTAGTCGTCGACGGTCTTCTTCCTGACGAGCGTCGCGCGCGGCGGCGGCGGCTTGTCGATCATCTTCGCGCGTTCGCGGCGGCGATCCGCGACGGCTTTGTAGTCGACGCAGTGCTGGGGCACGACGACGTCGATGACGGGCCGGTTCTTCTTGAGGCGCGCCTCGTGGGCCTTCATGCAGAGGCGCCACTCGTGGAGCGCGTTGTGGCTCATGGACGACGCGATGGAGTAGGGCTCGTCGGGCCGCCGGCGCCGGTCCGTCATCTTCAGGTGGCGCCGCCGGTCGTAGGACCGCATGACCCGGAAGTGGGCCCGGTCCAGGCGGCTGTCGACGTAGGGCGCCGAGTTGCGGATGATCTCGTCGTGGGCGTCCATGGCCTTGCGGATGTGCTGGCGCTGGAAGTAGGACATGCGCATGCGCTCGTCGAACGTGATCGCGTCCGCGCCGACCTGGCGGCCGTCGACGAAGACGGGCTTCTTCTTCTGTCTGCGGGGCTTTGTCGCGGGGGCGGGCTCGAAGGCGAGGAGCGCCGCGCCGACGGGGTCGGCCTGGTGCTCCGGGGGGGGCTGCTTCTTCGGGCCGTGGGCGTGCCTCTCGGCCTCGCGCCGCTCGCCGGGCCCGGTGGAGAGGCGGTGCTTCGAGTGGTGGTTCGTGTAGTCGACGTGGGTCTCGTGGTGGTGGTGGCCGCCGTGGTGGGCGTGCTCGCCGACGGCCGCGCGGAGGTCCGCGGCCGACGTCGGGTCGTGGTGCGGTTGGGGCGGCGAGCCGCCCGCGCCGCCGTCGCGCGGCGGGCTCGCGGACCGCGGCGGGCTCCCGTCGCGCTTCGCGGCGGCGTCGTGGTGGGGCTGGCTGTGGCCGCGCCAGGCGCCGGGCCCGCTGCTCAGGCGGTGGTGGCTGTGGTGGGACACGTACTCGGGGTGCTGCTTCTTGTGGAGGTCCGCGTGGTGCGTCGGCGACGGCGCCTCCGGCGAGTGCGCGGCCGCCGCGAGCGCCTCCAACGTCGTCGGGTCGCTGAGCTGCTCCATGGTGCGAGTCGTGCGGGCCCAACGACGCTAGCAAACCACCATCGGCATCTCGAGCGCTGGGCTGCAGGCTCAAGTAACTTAGTTGACCAGCAACAAGTCTCGCGGCTCGCTGAGCCAAGACTCATTGCTAGTCACCGCGCCTCTCGTCGCGCGCGCCTTCGGCACCAGCTCGAATTCCGCCGGCTCTGCGCGACCGCGACCATGAGCATGATCTCCGCTCCCGACTTCCGCGTGCGGCTCCGCGGCGGCATGCAGGTGCGCGCCGCTCGCCTCGGTCGAAATTTCAAACTCGCGTCCGCCGGCCTCCGCGGCCCGCCCCGCGCGCGCCGCCGCCGCCCCGCCCCGCGCGCCGCCGCCGGCGCGGAGGATCTTGACCCGCCGTCCCCGCGTGCGCAGATCTTCATCAAGACGCTCACGGGCCGCAAGCAGGCCATGACCCTCGAGCCGAGCGACGAGGTGCGGACGATCAAGCAGTCGCTCCAGGAGAAGGAGGGCATCCAGGTGGACCAGATCCGCCTCATCTACTCCGGCAAGCAGCTCGCCGACGACAAGAAGATCGAGTTCTACAACATCCAGGCCGGGGGCACGATCCACATGGTCCTCCAGCTCCGCGGCGGCGCGCGGTAGGCGCCCGGGCCCCCTAACGACCTCGCCGGAGCCGCCGAGACCGGGCGGCGCGCGTCCCCACGGGCGCCTCGGCGCGTCGCGCGCGTGCGTCGTCGCAGCGAGTCGCGCGCGCGAGTCCCGACGCCTCGTCGACCCGGCCTCAGCTCCTCAGCCTGAGGTGCCTCTACTGACTCAGGCTCTACGCCAAGTTCGGCTTCGAGGGCGTGCGGAATTAACGCCGCTTCCGCCCGCCCTTCTTCTTCTGCTGGGCGTGCTGCTTCTGCTGCTTCGCCTTCTCGCGCTCGCGCTGGCGGTCGCGGTTCCGCCGCGCGCGCGTCTCGTCGTCGGTCTCGTCGCCGTCGGACGGCGGCCGCGGCGGCCGCGGCGGCCGCGCGGCGACGCGGCGCGCGCGCTCCGCGAGCTCCGGCGGCGCGGGCCGCCGGTTCGCGTCGAGGACGGCGACGAGCGCGGGGAGGAGCGCGTCGTCGCCGCTGACGATCGTCGTCGCGACGCCCCGCGCGCCGTTGCGCGCGCAGCGGCCGACCTTGTGGACCCAGGCCTCGGCGCCGCCGACGAGGCCGAGGCAGACGACGCGCGCGACGTCGTCGACGTCCAGACCCCGCGCGGCGACGTCCGTGGCCACGAGCACGTCGTCCGCGCCCGCGCGGTAGCGCGCGATCGCGGCGGCGCGCTGCGACTGCGAGAGGTCGCCGTGGAGCGCCGCGGCGCGGCGGCCGCGGTCGCGGAGGGCCGCGGCGACGCCCAGCGTCTCCCGCTTGTGCGCGACGAAGACGAGCGACCGACTGGCCGGCGACGCGTCGGCGGCGACGCGCCGCCGCATCATGGCCACGAACGCGTCGTCGAGCCGGTCCTCCTCGCTGTCGTCGCCGCCGCTCTCGTCGTCGTCGTCGTCGTCGGACGCCCGGGGCGTCGGCGAGTCGTCGGGCGTCGGCGCGGGCTCGTCGTCGGGCGTCGGCGCGGACGACCCCTCGGGCGTCGGCGCGGGCTCGTCGTCGGCGAGCGCCGCGAGGAGCGCCTTGAGCCGCGCGGCGCCGCGGCCCTCGACGACGGCGAAGCGCAGCTCGAGCGACGCGCTCAGCGCGCCGACGCCCAGCGCGGCGCCGACGGCCACGCGCGTCGCGTTCGGCGCCAGGAGGCGCACCTTCGCCGACGCCGCCAGCGTCGCGGTCGCGAGGATCAACCGCGGCGCCGCCTCGCGCCGGCAGCCGAGCACGAGCCGCGCCGTCGCCACTTCGAACTCGGGAGACAGCAGTCGATCGCACTCGTCGAGCGCGAGCAGGGCGACGCGCGCGAGCGAGACCGCCGCGTCGTCGCAGAGCTGCCCGAGGCGGCCCGGCGTCGCGACGACCAATCGCGGCGGGCGCTCGGCGAGGCCGCGCTTTTGGAATGCGTAGCCCTCGCCGCCGACGACGGCGGCGACGGCGACGCCGTCGAGCGCGGACGCCGCGCGCGCCGCGACGTCGCGCGTCTGCAGCGCGAGCTCCCGCGTCGGGCAGAGCGCGACGGCGGCCGGCGCCGCGCCGGGCGCCCGAGCGACCGCGACGAGCGCCGGGAGCAGGAACGCGAGCGTCTTGCCCGAGCCCGTCGGCGCGATGGCGACGACGTCGCTCTCGAAGCCCACCGCCCAGACGGCGGCCTGCACCGGGGTCAGGCGGTCGTCGAGCGTCCGGCCGACGGCCTGCGCGCAGGCGGCCACGAGCTGCTCGTCGACGCCTTGCGCCGACACGACGTCGCGGAACGTCTCTAGCGTATCTGTCGTTGGAACCGTCTCTAGGGTATTCGTCGAGGGCAGCAGCGCCGCCATGATCACAGAATCTGCTCGGCCGTCGCAGCAAGGCTGTCCGCAGGGTCGCAGAGCCTCATCAGCATGCGCCAAGAGCAAATGTTCAAGGGAGCACTACAAGTAACTTTGTTGAAGCAATGCGGCATTAAACCCCCGTCAATTCCTGCAGACGAGGTCGCTCAGGGACCAGGGCCGTTCTTCGGCCTTGTGGCGGTTCTCGACGATGCGCACGGCGACGCGCGTGTAGTCGAGGAGCATGTCCTCGGCCTGGTCCTCGGTCTGGTAGTTCGTCGCGTTGGTGAGGGCCTCGACGAAGGTCGCGATGTCGACGGTGCCCGTGGCGCGGCGGTCCAACGTGGAGATGATGACGGAGTCGGCGCCCGCCGCGAGGAGCTCCGCGGTGTCGAGCGTCCGCGCGCCGTCGCCGAGCGCGCCCTCGAGCGCGCCGCGGAGCGCGGCGCGGAAGTAGCGGTCCGCCCGGGCCTTGGTCGGGTCGACCTCGGCCTCGACGGCGGGCACGGGCGCCGCGTCGCGCGCGCGCGCGAGGTCCGCGACCTCCGCGTCCCTCGCCTCGAGGCGCGCCTCGAGCTCCGCGATGCGCGCGTCTCGCTCCTCGAGCTCGGCGCTCACGGGCGCGCAGGCCGCCGTCGGCACGGCGGCGGCGGCCTCGGTCGCGTGCCGGTGCCGGAGCACGCGCGCGACGAGCGCGACGGCCTCGTCGAGGATCTTCGGCGCCTGGTCCGGCCGCCGGCCCAGCAGCCCCGCGACGACGTCGACGAAGCGGTCCCTGAGCAGGCCCGGGTCGCCCGGCGCGACCATGGGCTGCGTGTTGAAGCCCACGGCGCCGAGCTCGTCGAGGCGCACGTGGCCGCGGCCGTCGTCGAGCGCGTCGAAGACGCTGCCCAGGACGGACCGCGCGAGGGCCGGCGCGTCCGGCCCCGCCGGCGCCGGCGCCGGCGGGCTCCGCGACCGGGCGCGCGCCACGGCCTGGGCCTGCTCCGCGCGCTCCCGCGCGGCCTGCGCGGCCTGCGCGCGCTCGTCGTCGGCGTCCTCGGCGTTCTCCGGGAAGAAGCCCGTGCGGAACGGCTGCTTCCGCGGCGACGCCTTGGGCATGGCGCCGGCCGGGGGCTGCCTAGGCAGGACGACCACCAGACGCTGCCACGAAGCGTCCAGGGCGGCAGCTGCATCAATTGATCACCATTGACCTCGAGGCCAAACTCAAGGGGATAAATGAAGATCCCCTTGCCGAACTCAAATTGCGGGGCAACCTCTCCCACTTTTCAAACT